CTGTGAGGGAACAGAGTTAAATGAATTAACAGAATCTGCAGGGATTCAGCAGCGTGGATGTAAACAACACGATCAAATGTGCTAAATGGAGTTGAGAGCACTGCACTCACATTGGTCTCGCTTTCATGAGTTCACACTTACATATAATTAAATATAGTAAAGGTTATGTTAGTTTTGCGTGCTGTCCGGGGGGGGGGGGGGGGGGGGGGGGGGGGGGGGGGGGGGGTGGGGTTCTCCGAGCTCTGTGTTTGCCTGATCCCAGAGTGCTCCCCCATCCCAGACTGGCTAGAAGTGAGGAGATGGGGCGGTGGAGGGAAACTCTCATAGAACAGAGGTAAGTCTGCTGCCTACTGTATACAGTCACCTAAAGGATTATTAGGAACACCATACTAATACTGTGTTTGACCCCCTTTCGCCTTCAGAACTGCCTTAATTCTACGTGGCATTGATTCAACAAGGTGCTGAAAGCATTCTTTAGAAATGTTGGCCCATATTGATAGGATAGCATCTTGCAGTTGATGGAGATTTGTGGGATGCACATCCAGGGCACGAAGCTCCCGTTCCACCACATCCCAAAGATGCTCTATTGGGTTGAGATCTGGTGACTGTGGGGGCCATTTTAGTACAGTGAACTCATTGTCATGTTCAAGAAACCAATTTGAAATGATTCGAGCTTTGTGACATGGTGCATTATCCTGCTGGAAGTAGCCATCAGAGGATGGGTACATGGTGGCCATAAAGGGATGGACATGGTCAGAAACAATGCTCAGGTAGGCCGTGGCATTTAAACGATGCCCAATTGGCAGTAAGGGGCCTAAAGTGTGCCAAGAAAACATCCCCCACACCATTACACCACCACCACCAGCCTGCACAGTGGTAACAAGGCATGATGGATCCATGTTCTCATTCTGTTTACGCCAAATTCTGACTCTACCATCTGAATGTCTCAACAGAAATCGAGACTCATCAGACCAGGCAACATTTTTCCAGTCTTCAACTGTCCAATTTTGGTGAGCTCTTGCAAATTGTAGCCTCTTTTTCCTATTTGTAGTGGAGATGAGTGGTACCCGGTGGGGTCTTCTGCTGTTGCCCATCCGCCTCAAGGTTGTGCGTGTTGTGGCTTCACAGATGCTTTGCTGCATACCTCGGTTGTAACGAGTGGTTATTTCAGTCAAAGTTGCTCTTCTATCAGCTTGAATCAGTCGGCCCATTCTCCTCTGACCTCTAGCATCAACAAGGCATTTTCGCCCACAGGACTGCCGCTTACTGGATGTTTTTTTTTTCCTTTTCACACCATTCTTTGTAAACCCTAGAAATGGTTGTGCGTGAAAATTGAGCAGATTGTGAAATATTCAGACCGGCCCGTCTGGCACCAACAACCATGCCACGCTCAAAATTGCTTAAATCACCTTTCTTTCCCAGTCTGACATTCAGTTTGGAGTTCAGGAGATTGTCTTGACCAGGACCACACCCCTAAATGCACTGAAGCAACTTCCATGTGATTGGTTGATTAGATAATTGCATTAATGAGAAATTGAACAGGTGTTCCTAATAATCCTTTAGGTGAGTGTATACCTCTTATCCTGTTATTTGAGTTGATGAACTGAATGCCCTCCTCTCATGTTGATCACTTAATTATCTGAACGTGCTCCTCCCGAACTTTGTTAATAAAACATCATTTAAAAATATTTGGAGGACAGTAACGTAGTAGTTTTACCTCGTTACAGTACTTAGGTGGCTACATTTTCAAGTATCTGTACGAGTATTTTTATTTTGGGAATCTTTTACCTTTACTTCACTACATTCCAAAGCAGAATATCATAGTTTTTACTCCACTACATTTCATAAAAACATGTCTATGAGAAAAAGGTGCTGGCGCTGTGTCCACAGATGATGCTATGGGGAACGAAATGCCCACTGACGAGCGCCTGTCCTGGTGTGAAGCTGTTGCACGAGCTCAGGACGAGAGAGCCCAGCAGAAGCCAGGTCTATAGAGTCGTATAAATGTGTGCGGGAAAGATCAGCCCGCGGCATCACAGACTTCTGGGAGGGAGACCCCCGATAACAAAGCTTTCTTTGGCCACACTCCTGGTGGAATGGGCTCTCCCCCACGGAGGCTTGGGCTCGTCGTGCTCCTCATTTACTAATGCTCTGCTTAGAGGACTCAGACTTCCACCATCGGAAGGTTCTCTGAACATAAATCTTCAAAATTTCAGCCTCTCTTGCTCCACCGACACAAAAGCAGACAAACAATGTCATATTTGCATTAAACATGTCAATAATTGTCACTTAATGACAGTTGTCATAAACATGCATAAACCCTCCTTCATATTCATGACATGTGTCTTGTCATGATTATGAAGGTGTCATGTCAGTCTTATGCACACCCCTTCAAGTAAAGTGTTATCACGTTTTCTTACTTGCAGATCAATAAATATTAATTGTCTGCATAATATTCCTTATTGAGGAGTGCTGGCTACTTGGAAATAATTCATAATGATGTCAGACTGAGCTGTAACCTGCTTGTGTTGTACAGCATAATTTCCTCTTAGCATCACATGCATCTGAGCTATTTTTAAAGCATCTTTGTTTTGAGCTCAAATCAAGCGCATCATCCTCGTCGTCATGTGCAAACGACAGCTGAAGAACAGAGCAGCAGAAGCAGGCCGTGATGCTTGACGTGATGTCACTGTTTGAGAGAGGGAGAGAGAGAGAGAGAGAGAGAGAGAGAGAGAGAGGGGGGGGGGGGAGAGAGAGAGAGAGAAAGAGAGAGAGGGGGGGGAGAGAGAGAGAGAGAGAAAGAGAGAGAGAGGGGGGGGAGAGAGAGAGAGAGAGAGAGAGAGAGAAAGAAAGAGAGAGAGAGGGGGGGAGAGAGAAAGAGAGAGAGAGAGAGAGAAAGAGAGAGAGAGAGAGGAGGAGAGAGAGAGAGAGAAAGAGAGAGAGAGGAGGAGAGAGAGAGAGAGAAAGAGAGAGAGAGAGAGCGCGGGACGGGTACGCTCGCTCACCAGCAGCTGGTTTATAATCCTCTCTGCAGAAATCCTCTCTGTTCCCCAAAACAGACCAGCAGCGTCTCCTCCACTGCCACGACACAACACTGATCATCTGCCCTCGGCTGTTCCTGCTTCAAACGCTGCAGGGAGATCACGAGGTCTTGATCCCCAAGACTGGTTTCCCACTGTAGCCCAAGACTGGTTTCACACTGTAGCCCAAGACTGGTTTCCCACTGAAGCCCAAGACTGGTTTCCCCCTGAAGCCCAAGACTGGTTTCCCACTGAAGCCCAAGACTGGTTTCCCACTGAAGCCCAAAACTGGTTTCCCACTGAAGCCCAAGACTGGTTTCCCACTGTATCCCAAAACTGGTTTCCCACTGAAGCCCAAGACTGGTTTCCCACTGTATCCCAAAACTGGTTTCCCACTGAAGCCCAAGACTGGTTTCCCACTGAAGCCCAAGACTGGTTTCCCCCTGAAGCCCAAGACTGGTTTCCCACTGAAGCCCAAGACTGGTTTCCCACTGAAGCCCAAAACTGGTTTCCCACTGAAGCCCAAGACTGGTTTCCCACTGTATCCCAAAACGTCCCGGGTTACGTATGTAACCCTAGTTCCCCGAAGGGACGGACGCTGCGTGTAATCGCAGTGGGAACGCCCCCAGCGTGACGCGTCTGAAGCATGAATGAAATCAGTCAATGGAGAGAATGAGCGTACGGCGAGTGACGTCATAGACCAGGAAGCTATAAATATCCCCTGAGCACACCACACGCCAGCTTAAAAGTCACTGAAGCAGCGACCCAAGGGGATGCCGAGAGTATGGCAGGACACGCAGCGTCCGTCCCTTCGGGGAACTAGGGTTACATACGTAACCCGGGACGTTCCCCTTCAGGGACTACCGCTGCGTGTAATCGCAGTGGGAACGCAATACCCACATCCCCATACGACCAAATCCCCGTCGTGTGTCATTAGGAGACACAAGCCGACGAGAGAACCTGAGCCCCGGGAGTGGAGCTAAGGTCAAGGGAATAAAATCTGACGAAAGTGTGCGGTGAGGACCAGCCTGCCGCATCACAAACGTCCTGAAGAGAAGCTCCTGAAAGAAGAGCTGTAGAGGCAGCCATACTCCTGGTGGAATGAGCCCTTACAGCCAAAGGTGAAGGCTGATGGGCCGAACCGTAAGCAAGCGAGATAGCCTCGACCACCCACTTGCTCATCCTTTGCTTAGATGCAGGACACCCTCTCTTAGGTGACCCAAAACAGACAAACAGTTGTTCCGATCTCCTCCACAGAGCAGCTCTGTGGACATACGCATCTAAAGCCCTAACAGGGCACAGCAAATTAAGTTTCCTCTGGTCTGACGTCAGAAAAGGCGGAGGACAGAAAGCCTGCAGAACTATAGGTCTAACCAAAGTAGTCGGCACCTTAGGAACATAACCTGGTCTCGGACAGAGAAAGGCCTTAACCATACCAGGAGCAAATTCCAGGCACGAGGGAGCCACCGAAAGTGCTTGAATATCACCAATCCTTTTTAGAGATGAAATAGCAAGAAGAAGGATAGTCTTAAGAGTAAGAAACTTTTCCGAAACTTCCTCGATGGGCTCAAAAGGAGCAAGGGAGAGACCTTCTAAGACGATGGCCAGATCCCAAGCTGGTACCCTTGTGCGAACTGCAGGCCTCAGCCTCAGGGTGCCACGAAGGAAGCGAGATATAAGTGGGTGTTTCCCGAGGGAACCTCCACTTGAAGGGGCGTGGTAAGCAGCTAAGGCCGCCACATACACCTTCAGTGTGGAGTGGGATAACCCTGTGGAGAGACGGTCCTGCAGGAAATCCAGCACTGTACCAACCGGGCAGTTAACTGGGTCCTGCTGGCGCTCTCCACACCAAGAGGTGAAAAGCTTCCACCTCGCGGCATATAACTTCCTCGTGGAGGGAGCTCTGGATTGGAGGATGGTCTCAACGACCTCAGCCGAGAGACCAGAATCTATGAGCTGGGCCCCCTCAGAGGCCAAGCC